ATCCACCAGAAGAAACAGAATTAGTAAGTGCAAATTTACCTCTTCTGCGGAAGACCTTCCTATTGCACTTCGAAAAGGGACACAAACTTGTACTCAACATCCTATTTTTAACTTTGTCTCTTATGATCGTCTCTCCTCCACCTTTCGATGTTTTGTTACTTTCTTTGACTCATATTTGGTTCCTAAGAATGTGTCAGAAATCCTGTCTATTCCAGGTTGGAACTAAGTTATGCAAGACGAAATGAGGGCCTTGTGACAAAAATAAGACTTGGGATTTGGTCTCACTTCCACCAAAAAAGCGGTCCGTTGGTTGCACGTGGGTGTACACTGTCAAATTGAATCCTGATGGAACTTTGACACGCCTGAATGTCCGATTGGTTGCTAAAGGCTATTCGCAGGTGTATGACTTAGATTACTTAGATACCTTCTCTACAGTGGTAAAAATAACATCTGTTCGGATATTTATCTCATTAGTAGCGACAAATCACTGGTCGCTTCATCAGTTGGACATCAAGAATGTATTTTTTAATGGTATTCTAGATGAGGAGGTTTACATGGAGCAACCACCAGGTTTTGTTGCTCAGGGGGAAAATGCGAAGGTGTGTAGGCTGAAAAAATCATTTTATGCTCTGAAGCAATCTCCGAGAGTCTGGTTTGGATGTTTTACATCGGTTATTCAGGAATTTAGGCTCTGTCGTGCACAGAAAGATCACTCTGTCTTCTGGCGATTTCAGAATGAGAAACGAATGCTTGTTATCTGTGTGGATGACATTGTAATTACAGGGGATGATGCTTCTGGTATTGACAACCTAAAGAAGCATTTACAGACACATTTCCAAACCAAAGATCTTGGTTCCCTAAAATACTTCCTAGGCATTGAAGTTGCAAAGTCAACGAAGGATATTCTTCTGTCACAAAGAACGTACGTCCTGGATATGCTTTTAGAAACTGGGATGTTAGGATGCAGAAGCAGTGATTCTCCAATGGATGTGAACTCAAAACTACTATCAGATTAGGGGGAGCTTCTTGAGGATATTTGATAGTTTAGAAGATCGGTAGGAAAACTGAATTATTTGACGGTGACTAGATTTGACATCGCATTCACAGTCAGTGTTGCGAGTCGGTTCTTGTCCGCATCAAGAACTACTCACTTGGATGCAATAATGAGAATTTTGAGGTACTTGAAGAAGGTTTCAGGACGAGGAATTCTCTACTCAGATCAATGACATACCAGAGTTGCAGGCTTCTCTGATGCAGATTAGGCTGGATGTCCTTTTGATAGGAGATCAACTACTAGATATTGTGTCTTTCTCGGAGGAAATCTAGTGTAGTGAAAAAGTAAAAAACAAAGTGTTGTATCTCGATCCAGTGCATACTCAGAATACAGAGCTATGACAAATGTGACACTGGAGATGATTTGGATCAGAGACCTATTGACAGAAATTGGTCTCCCTCCAGAATGTCCTATGGATCTATATGGAGACAATAAAGCAACAATTCACATTGCTGAGAATCCCGTGTTTCATCAAAAAATCCAAGCATATTGAAGTCGACTATCATATAGTCCGCAAGAAGCTCGAGGATAAAAGCATCACGGCAAAACATGTATCGATAGTAGATCAGTTGACAGACATTCTTACAAAACCACTTGGTCGAACACTGGTTGATTTTATTTGTGACAAGCTGGGCATGCATGATATATATGCTCCAGCTTGAGGGGGAGTGTTAGAAGAAGAGAGTATTAGTTTAGTCTGCTCCAGCTTGAGGGGGAGTGTTAGAAGAAGAGAGTATTAGTTTAGTCCCACATTGCTTGTGAGACTAACTTGTAACTAATTATTAGTTTAGTCCCACATTGCTTGTGAGACTAACTTGTAACTAATCCATCTCTATAAATAAAGTATAGAATGAGGGGATAACTCTCCAATGATCTCTTTTCTCTCCAAACTTTAACACACACCAAGCGATGCCTAGCATTTCCGATAACATTGATTGTAATTAAAAAATAGGAAAACTCCTAGGTCCCGCGTAGGTTTTAGGTGCCGGGTTACTTTCCTAGGTCGTCTAGCGCTTTTTGTAACCTTGCTATGGACTTGGACCACCTTTGAGTAATCCAAGTTTTTTTAGCTTGATGTTTAAGGCAACCTTATATTGTCAATTGGGAACTAAATTTTATACCATAAAAAACTGAGATGTTTTTAATATCCAGATATCAGCATATGAAGGGGCAAGGATGCGTTTGCTGGCAACTAGTGTTGCAGAAATTACACGGCTAGGTTTGGTGAATATTGTATTCAGTGGCAATGAAACTGGCAAGAACAGTCTTTCTGCAAAACTTAGAAAACCTGTTGGTAGGTAGATGAGCATACCCTATTCTTTTCAGAGCATTAAGTTCATCTACCAATTTAATAGGCAAAAGTCTTGACTGCTAGTTCAACATGATATTGTCACTTTATCCTGTCGAAGACTGTATTAGTCCCATAGTGGTGCAAGTTCAACATGATCTTTTAGTGAAAGTCTTCTAGGAGATTAATATGGTTGACATCAAAGTTGGATTTATTCCCAAGCAAGGAGGAGTGGAAGGATTATATCCAATGACTCTTAGATGGTCCAATCAGTAGAAGAAAAAGAATGATGAAGACTTAAGTACCTAAGATTTCCGGCCTCTACATATGGAAGTTTCATAATCATAGGGTATGTATATATTTATTGAAGGTTGAGAAAGCCAACAATTTTGTTGGTAGTTTGTTGGTGACTTCTTAAATCAGTTTGCTGACAAGGTAGATAGGTATCTGTATAACTATGCATTTTAGTTCATAATATTTACCTATAAAAATAAAGTTTTTGCCCTATGCATGGACTCATTGCTTTAGGTCTTATCCCAAAAAACTAGTAAGCACAAGATACACAGTCAAATACGCAATTAAGGAGATTGTAACTATAAATGACTAGAACCATTAAAAGTGGAAAGAAAAGCATGCGAAGCTTAAAGGCTCAGAGTCGTTAGTATAATAAAATTTCCCCTGGATGTTGAGCAGTCAAATAAAAAATCAAAAGGCAAAGCCAAGCTTAAATCTGACCAAGCAAAAGCCTATTGACCCCTATTTATGTTTATTAGAAGGTTTATAGGGAATGACACTATAGGAAAGTATAAGGATCAGTTTGTTAGAGTATAAAACTAGAGTCGTCAACTCTCATCAAAACTTCAAAGTTTTGGTGTAGTGGCAAGGACTTTTCACATGGCAGCAGAGCAACCCAGGTTCACTCCCTATTGGTCGTGAATCTAAAGTAGATTGAAAAACTGATACCTCTACGTGAGTCCAGGTTTTAGTCCTTAAAAGGGTGGTCAACGGCCGGGGGCATGTTATTAACTTATTATACTATAAAACTATAACCCTCAACTCTCACCAAAACTTCGGAGGTTTGGTGCAATGCCAGCGACTTTCACAAGGTCTTTTCTCTTTTGTTCTTTTTTACCTAAAGCTAAAAAGGTTCTGGTGCACAAAACCCATATTATTTCATATTTCTTGTTGGCCGTTTGTTCTTTGTCTTGGACATCTGTCTAGTTACTCTCTATATGTATCATTACACATTTGAAAGTCTTCATGCTTTTTATAGCACTCATCATTTCTGATGTTGTGCTCCTCTTGGAACATATTTCTATATGTTTTAATATTGATCTTCATCAATTGTAATGAGACTTTTCTGTCTACTTAGTTGATGGTTATTGATGAGACAAATTTATGGAACCTGAACGAACACGTTTTCTTTTAACTGACTTTCCTACTGTTTATTTGTTACACCTCACTAGAAATCTATTAGTACCCTAACAGGTGCTAGTCTATAGTGATCTTAAGAAAGATTGGGAACGTTGGCATTAACAGAATTGTCAAAGAAGGATTCAGTTAATCTGTGGTGGAGAGTTCTTCCTCATGGCTGAATTCCTTAGAAAATGTTCATACTGAAACTTCAGTGATGTACAGTGCATGCTTGATGTGTCATGGTATTGTTCGCTTCACAGACGTTACGAAAGAATTTTCTTTTTGGTACCACTTCATCAAGTTACTCATTTCTTACTTCTAAATTGGGATCTATCTAGTAGTACCTGGTCTATAACATCGATAGCTATGCCATTTAGTATATTCTTGATTAACTCTTCCCTATCTGGCTCTATGCAAGTTCTTTATCTATTATATTACGCGATCTTATACAAAGTCATCTTGATTTGTTATCGATAAGCCCTTCCATCCTCCTTTCTGATTACAATCTTCTAAGTTAGTTAACAAACATCTAGTTATGTATGCATGATTTGTGTTTCTTTGGCATTATAAGGGGCTCAGTTATGTTGAACTTCAATACAGCGTGAATAGCCACTATTCTTAATGTATGCTTTACCTTGCTAATTTCAATCTGGATTAAAATTTTATATGCCTAAGTTTGAAATGAAAAAAGTATTAGTAAATCATGGAAGCGAGACCTACATTTTGAATAATACATGTAAAAGTAGAAGTTTACACTGTTAAACTGTTAATTGAGTGCTTAGTATCTCAGTGGAGCTCCTATCCAGCGTCGCTGTTGCTGCTCTTTTTTTATGCTGCTTATTAATTCTAGTTATTGCTTGGGCCTTAAGTCTCATTGATCCTACTCCTGCAATTAATATGGTTTTTGTAAGGATGAAGTTTTTATTATTATTTGCATATGTTCATGAGTTCTTACTAATTGCATCCTCAACTTTAAGAAAAATGCATCATTCATTGTCTAAAGGTTTTAGCTAAAATACATTTGTGTGAAGTCATGGTAAATGTATATTTCTTACCATTATTTTCTTGATGCCAATTCATTACAATCTAATTTATCAACAGGGTTTTTTGTTGGAATGTAGTTGTTACAACAATCTTAACTGTCTTGTGTTTCACATCACATTATTTTTAAGTTTATTTCCTATAAAGATAGAGTTCATTATTATATTTTAACTTTTTTGTTTTACTTCTTCCTTTATGCAGGTGTGAGCTCTTCAATACAAATCTTGACCAATACGTGAAAACCTTGATTTAGCATCCTGAGGTAGTTTAAACCGTTTTAACAATATTATTGTTCATGAATTTAATCTCCCATAGAGGCAGTTAACTGATTTTGTTCTTTTAATTTATAATTTTAACTAGTAAATCATTTCATTCTTGAATATAAAATGATCTAACCTGCTGAGGTGATTGGAAGCCCTACCTCTCTTTTGTGTCCGGATCTGAATTATCAATGCCTGGCTTTGATTTGGAGAAACGATTTTGTGTGCTTTTCCTTCATGATGCTATTTCTTTTGAAGCAAAAACTAAACTTGAAAATCCTTCTTTATTCTCAGAAAATATAAGATTATTATATGACTTCATAAAAAAGGGCTAGTAAGTATCATAAATATGCCTCCTTTTAAATTCTCGTCATATAAGAAAAGTCCTTAAACTGTCATGGAGTGATGCCATATTTCTCAAGAATGTGAACTTCATGAGGTAGCTAGCTTTAATGTTCTATGCTCGCATCTATGTCACCTGGGTACTTCTATCTGAAGTCGTACTCTTATCCGACACGTATATGTATCCATACCCAAACTCTGTGGACACTCGTTGCATATATGCTTACATTTATTTGGGCATGTACTCACTTTAACAGTACATATATTAATTTAAAACACTTGTCACACCATATATACTACACATCACATCCACTTCTTGAAACTCAGTTGGTTCCGAACTATGATTTTAATTGGCCATTTGGGTGTCTAGTTCAAAAACAAGCGGCTTTACACTTTATAATTGACATAATAAAAGAAACATAAAAACTATTATAGGAATATTAATTCTAATAACATGAGAAAAAAAATATTGATCTCATTAAATTGTTAATTTTGATATATAATATATATGTGTATAGCAATATCTTTATAGTTGTGTCCCCATACCCTACTTTTCACAAATTTTCCACATCCGGTACCGATACGCATACAGATACTTGTACTGTATCCGTTTCCACGCAACATAGGCTCACATCACTGTGCTCAACTGGTTGACAGCTAATAACTGTTATTGTTTAGTCATATTTCTTGTTGCTCGTGTATTCAAATGTAAATACTTGGAAGTTGGAAAAATGTTCATACTGGTATACACTTGGGACTTTGGGGAGCATCCTTTTACTCTTGGGTTATTTTCACAAAACCACCTTGAACTTTGTGGGGTTTTAAGTATTGCTCTAGTTTCAGACTAAACTTCTGCTGGCATTGGCTCTTTGGTCATGGTACAAACTTTGAGGATTATCTACGGGACGAGTTGAGATCCTGGGAGTTCTACCACTGAGATTTCTGAGAGCATCTTTAACTTTGTCGTATTAATTTTGGATGTTGTCAGTCATGTACTGCCTCAGCATCACACAAAATACAGGGCAGCTGGGGAGAAATCACCATTATGATACATTAATTTGCAAAATGAGACTGTAGAGTGAAGTTGCACCTTAAAGAGGTTGTTCTATTAGACATAAAATATCTCTGTTATGCATGGTTGTCAACTCGACATCAGTAGTAGTTTCTACCATAAGCAGAAGATAAATTATTTTTGGAACAAGACTATGGAACATATGAGGTGTTTCCCTTTGTCATGAGTTTAGACAAAACCTCATGAAATAAATAGAGATAATACATATGGCTAATTCCATACTTGGTTGGCTCCCTAAGTTTTGTGTTAAAAAAGAAGTGCTCTAAGTCTGTGGTGTATCCAGAAAACTTTCTTGAGGGGTGCGGATGACAAGTATCCATTACCTAAAAATAAAAAATAATAATAAAATAAGAAGAGAATCAATGGCAGGTTACTATCCTAATTAATCAATGGTTGTTTCCTTACTTATTTAAGTGATTATAATTCTCTGCTAACCAAGTTATAATTACCAATTCTCACAAAATTTCTTTCCTACAATGACTAGTCTTTATAGGACCCAAAGTTTCGAAGTAAAGAATAACCCATTAACCATTAATTCCTTTACTATTCAATGCTTTTGAATTTTTTGAATGATATTGAAGGAAGTACTTGACAAACAAAACTATATGTCTACAGTTCACATGAATGCATAACTAAAACAAGAAGATGAAGAGAATTCTTTTTGTTGACCAGGGGTTGCAATACATGCAACACCAATTAAAAGCAACAACTTTTTCCACACTTGCTTATTATGAATACTAGAAAACTTGTTTATTATGTTTATATAGCGACAAAAATAGTTCAACTTTTTCCACACTTTTTCTATGCAGGAATTGCAGTCAGAATTTCATCATCTTCATATAATTCTTTAGCATGACCAAAGAATTTTAAGGTCAGTTTAGTCGTGGCTTTGAGTACTCTTGTTATAAGGGAAGCTTGAGAATGTATGTCCCTTCAAATTGCAAGCTTCTTATCTGTTATGCTGATTTATCTCTTGTATCTGAAATTCAAAGAAATTGAGAACTTTTCATTGAGGTAAATATTCTGTTTTATATCAAATATTTATTCCATTCAATTTGTAGCTTTTTGCACAATTGTTCAATTCTGGATTCATATGATTTCATATATTGGAGAAAAAGATCACCCTTCAAGGTTCCATAGCAGTTTACTTTGTGGAAGGTAAATACGGAAGAAGCCATCTCTTGAAATTTAAAATTTATGTGGTGTAGGAAGGCACGATAACATGGTCCTATTTATGAAATCATAATTGTGATATACATTGTTCACATGTAGTCTCATTAACTTGACTTGAACCATATCCTTCCTTGTTCCCGTTTTATGTTGATGCCTTTCGCAAATATACAGTTCTATCTCTCTCCATCCATATAAAAATAATTGAGGATTAAAATTCAAATGTTTGGTATTGCCTTGCTATATTGTCTTTTTAAGGGTTGAGTTAGGTTTCTTTTTTCATATATATATATATATATATAGATTTGGATCCTCTACTCATCAATAGTGGCTCCTAATATTTGCTAATGCATTTCCACCTTTTATTTTGTGGGACCATCTTTTATTTTGTGCTTATCCACAAAATAAAAGGTGGAGATGCATTAGCAAATGTTAGGAGTCACTATTGATGAGTAGAGGATTCCAATCCATCGGAGGAATATATGAGGATCTCTCCAACAATAGCAACGATGACATGATAAGTCCGCGCATCAAAGCTTTGACTATTCTACTAGTGCTGTAAGCCTTGATCTTGTGCTAGACTGAGGATGTTGTCATTCGAAGTGTTATTGAAATGAGTTTGTAGTGCCTGAGTGGCAATGTTACATTAAACGCTAGGCGCTTCTAGGCGTCGAACTTGGCACCCAACGCTTAGTCGCCTAGGCGGACGCCTAAGCGGTTTCTGGGCGTTTTTTTTTTCTTCATTTAAGTGGTGATCGATGAGGTTTTGCTGAAGGTCGAAGGAGGTAGTGGAGATGTTCATATTTGGAGGTTAATGGAGTTTGGAGGACGTGTAGGCTATGACACATAAAATCGCAATCAAGGCCTACATGGTGCAATCTACGTAAGCAGACAATGCTCCCTAAACGCTCGTAAAATCTAGGTGGGCAGCCTAAATACCGCCTAGGCGCTAGGCGCTAGTTAGGCGGCCTAGGTACCGCCTAGGTCTAGGCGTACGCCTAAGCGGACTAGGCGGAGGTTTTTTAAAACAATGCTGAGTGGTGTATATCATTGTTGTTCCGGAAAACACTTCAATTTTGAGATTCTTGTACAAGAGTAGAACAGATTTTGCTTTAAGTTCATCGTTGTAGGACATAAAACAACTCTATCATCAAGTTTAGACTCTTGAACTTCTAGTTTCAAAAATGCTTTCCCTTTATTCTAACATAAATAAGAGATAATTGGGGCAAAAAAGTTTTCCCATCGTGATTGAACAGTACGGTTTCTTTATTACGGTGATTTTGACTGACAATATTATTTGACGAAGCTATACACATTACCAAGCGGTTGAAGGTCCTAGAAATTGAAGATCCACCAGTGAAGCTTGTTACTCGTACGTTAAACTGAACTCATCAACATTAGAGAATAAGAGGTTTCTCATTGTCATGTTAAGGTACAATAATTGTTATAGGTTGCCTCAAATACTCAAATCCATATTGTTTTGGGAGTTTTTTTTAGGTTGGTTTGTTTTGATCAAGAGTCTACTTACATTAGATTTTGCACAACCAATCATATTAGAGGTTTATTCCTACTTGGAATATTGTTGGGTTCTATGACATGTGGACTTCTATTCCTATTAGAACTTTTAGTGCTTAGACAGCAAGGAGTTGTGATCTTCAAGGCTATATAAGAACAGTCTTTCAAGCCAATTTTAATCATCAATCTTTAGAGCACCAATTAAGAAGAGGGAGTTTTTTTGTGAAGCCTATTTGATATTCTTCTCTTTTGTTCCTTTAGTTGAGAATTATATTAGGTTTTTGGGGGTATTATTTAGGGTTGAGAGATTGAGAGATCCACTTTGTATTCCTCACAATTTAGTAAAATTTTTTCCTCCTTCACCCGTGGACGTAGGCTATAAACCGAACTACGTATATATTTGTGTTCGTGTGATTCTTGATATTTTTCGTGCTCTCGTGTGATTGATATTAGCTAATCCTGGGGAATTTGTCATAACAGTAATCAAGCTTAGCCCAGAAAATATTAGCTGAAGCTTCTATCAGCTCTGAACATCTTGATTATTGCTTAGTAGGATCTTCAGTTTGCTAGCTTTAAGCTGTGCGTGATTTCTCTGACGAAGAGAAAGAAGAGTGATTGAACGCTTGAGATAGCAATAATCTTGGTGGTTATGATGGAGGAGAGATCTTTGGCATTCAAGAGCAGGTAAAGCGTTTGAGAGCAGAACAAGCAAGGCATCACGGGGATAGTCTTAAGTTTGAAAGAAAAGGATTAGCGTTGAGTTTTGAGAGTCTGGAAGTGTTGGCTTTTAAACTTAAATTCGTGTTGTCAGTGAAATCAGAATTATGCAACTTGCTCTTTTCTTAAGAGAAGAATTGATATAAAAAATTATGGGAGGAGTATTTACGAATGAATTGAAATATTATTGCCTCTTGAATGCAAGTTATCAACTCTTTATATAAAATAGACTAGATAAATTTGATAGAAATTTTCTATTAAACTGTTATAAAATTAATAATGTGTTGTAGGCAAAAATGTTGCGCAGTTTAGAATGGTACAACGGAGATTGGTAAGTACACTAACTATACAATAAGATTTATGAACTACTGGCTCGTTTGGTATGCGAGAATCAGATCAAGTGAGAATGGAATGAAGCAATGAATGAAATAGAATGGGTGTGGGAATGAAATGTTTATTTCCATTTTCAAGTTTGAGTGCAATTACAGAATGAGGTGGTAATGAAATATATTTTTATTTTTAGTGTAGGTAATTAGTAAAAAACATGATATATTTGGTATTTAGATTAAGTTTTTATTCTCATTTAAGTGAGAATGCTCATTCTCGACCAAATCATTGTGAATGTCTATTACCACAAAAAGTGGGAATGAAGGAGAAGTGAGAATACACATTCTAGCTTCCGAAAATGTGTTTTGTATAGTATGTATGAATGACAAGTGGGAATGAGCGTTTCATTCCCATCCATTCCCACTTACCAAGCGTGGCCTCAGAGGGCTAAACTTAGAGGTGCCATTTGGCAAAGATTAAATGAGGGGTTAAGGAGACTTAACCCTTTTTTAACCTGCCAAACACAAAAAATCTATAGAAAGCTTAAAGTGAGTTAACCCTTCATAATTTGCTAAACGTAAAAAATACGGAAGAGTTAAGCTAACCCCTCTAGAGGAGTTAAAATGAGTTAACCTCTCAGTTAAAATGAGTTAACCTCTCGAAATGAGGGGTTTACCAACACTCCGATATAAACCCCTATAATTATAAAGAAAATAGTTAAAATCCTTGTTATTTCCAAACAATAAAAATGATCGTAAGGGCTACAATAAAACTTATAGAACGGATTAATTATCTAGTCATTCCGATTATCAAATGAACTAACTATATTAATCCTTCTGTTTAATCTCCCTTCCTTAACCCTTTGCCAAACGGAGCCATGGATTTCAATTGGAAGCAATTAAAACAGAAGAACAATAGTTATTGTTGTTTTAGCAATCAAGTTTCCTTGAGAAATGGTATATATATTTTCCTGCTATTACCCATCGACTTGAATTTATTGATTCCGGAAATTTTGTTATTTTCTACAACCATGGTGACGAACATATGTGGACTGCAAATGGGCTAGCATATTTTCTGACAGTCATTTTGACCAAATACTATATGAGAATAAGGTTTCAACATTCAAACTTGGTAATTCATTTTTTATTATGTAATTTTCAAAAATTTGCGTTTATCTTTCTGAAAACAAGGTCAGGATCCTCCTAAATGACAAGTGTTAAAGGGATTTGTTTTCTTTTTTTCATATTTTTTTTTATTTTTGATGAAAAAAGTGCCTACAGTCTGCAATCTACTATTTTTTATACGAGTCTGCATTCTACTATTAGATCAATTTAAAAAAAACGAAGTTATCTCTGGCTTACCACTTGGCAATAGCAAGGTTTAAAGTTCAGTTTAACAAACAGATCAAATTAAAAGAAATGAAAATAAAAGTTAAAACTGTATCGTCATATGCAATAATTATTTGTGCATATAGCTGGTGAGAAAATGCGCTAACTAGTTCCTCCTAATTACAGTCCAAGTAATACTAAGAAAAGATTCTTTAGAAAAAGGGAAATTTTGTAAAATAGACCGTTTTTATGAAATATATAGCAAAATAGACCACTTTGCTAAATAATTAGCAAAATAGACCTCTTTTTGGCCAATAGGCCAAAAAGATGTCGATTTTGAAAAAGTGGCTTCAGAAAATATACGGCACTACTAGTCCTGTATGTTTTGAGACAACTAATTTAATGGTTAGCGAACTCAGAAAATATACGGGACTAGTAGTCCCATATATTTTCTGTTCATTAACAAAACGTACAGAACTACTAGTCCCGTATGTTTTGTAGAGCCACTTTCCCTCTGCCCAGCAAATCCACGGGACTACTAGTCCCGTGGATTTGCTGGGCAGAGGGGCAACATGCACCAAACATGCATGGGCCTGATTTATCGATTACAACCAAAATTTTCGCCAAAAAGATACCATTTACATTGTATACTATGATAAAAGTTATAAAATTACAACATCACAACACAAATCTCATCATAGAGTACATCACCACACAAATCCGACGTAATCAACAACATCACAACACAAATCCGACGGAATACACATCACATCCAAAATCCGACAAAAATACACATCACAAATCCATACGATAATTTATATTAGTCTAAGCTAAACAAATCCATATGTCTCAAGTCGACCCATACGATAATATGTATTTTAAGATAAACAAATCCAAGGTCAATAAATCCATACGACAATATATATCTTAGTGGAAAAACTAACAAATAAAAAATCCACCCCTCCCCCGTTGTCTCTCTCTTCGCACTCGTTGAGATCGTCGGCGTCCTCCTTCGA